ATCATATTACCTTTTAGAGAATGGCATTTCCTTTCATGGCTTATAAGTTTACTTCTTTGAAGCTTTAAAGGGGTGCCTTTAATACTTCAAGATTCAGATAAAAAAATCCGCATGAGTCCCATCCAGACCTTCAGAAACCCACCATTTTTATATAAGGGGATTGGGGACTTTGGTTACGTGGTGATGCCCATATTCGCTAAATTGTTTATTTGGCAAAATTACCAAATAACCTTGAATAATAGAGGTTTTGTTTTGTTTTTTGAGATGGGGTCTTGCTCTGTCACCCAGGCTGGAGTGCAGTGGCACGATCTCAGCTCACTGCAACCTCAGCCTTCCAGGTTCAAGTGATTCTTCTGCTTCAGCCTCCAGAGTAACTGGAATTACAGGTGCCCACCACCACGCCCGGCTAATTTCTGTAGTTTTAGTAGAGATACGGTTTCACCATACTGGCCAGGTGGTCTCGAATTCCTGACCTCATGATCCGCCCGCCTCGGCCTCCCAAAGTGCTGGGATTACAGGCATGAGCCACAGTGCCTGGGCCCCTCCCCTACCCCCCACTGCCCCCCCTTTTTTTTTTGGCTATAGGAACTTGTATGCTTTTATAAAGTTGTTCCCATATTCTGTTATCAGCTATTAGGTGGCTTCATGGAGTCTCCATATTTCACCCCCACTTCTATGGAAAATTCTTCCTGTAACTACCTACCACCGGTGAGGGTATGAATTTCTGGAGTATGGGATTGTCCCACTGTCACCCCAGAGTGAGCACCTTGATTTCTAAGCCTTGTTCTGAGCCTGGATTCACAAAGACAAATTCTACCACACCAACTGAAGAAGTACCTGTTCAGGCATGGCGGCTTACACCTATAATCCTAGCACTTTGGGAGGCTGAGACAGGTGAACTGCCTGAGCTCAGGAGTTTGAGACTAGCCTGGGCAACACCATGAAACCCTGTCTCTACTAAAATACGAGAAGTTACCCAGGCATGGTGGCGGGTGCCTGTAATCCCAGTTACTCAGGAGGTCGAGGCATGAGAACTGCTTGAACCCAGGAGGCAGAGGTTGCAGTGAGCCAAGATCATACCAGCATGGGCAACAGAGTGAGAAGCATGTGGCCAGACAATTCTGGAAAACAGAATGGGTTCTCCTAACACGAACCTCAGGCCCTCCAGAAATTTTCAGAGCAAATCTCTTCGTTGCCTCTCTTCATTCTACTACCACTGTTTTAGTGAGGACCTGTTTCCCAGCTGACTAATTTCAAACACAATATGACATGGTGGTTAAGAGTCCAACTGCCTAGGTTCATATCTCACTTTCACTAGTTTGTATGACCTTGGTAAATTACTTAATCTGTTTCCTCACGGCTAAAATGGAGTCACTGACAGTACTTACCTCACAGAGCTGCTATGAGGATTAAGTGAGGTGGTGACTATAAAGTACTTGGCAGGGTGCCTAGACCTGAGCAGGTGCTTCATAAACACTTTTACTCTCAGCAGCTTCCTAATGGGTCTCCTACCACAGGGTTATCACCCTCCACCAATCCACCTTCCATGCTATTGCGAGTGTGCACTTTCACAAATATTTCTGGGTTATAAAATACAAATTTCATTGTAGAAAATTCAGAAAACACATGAGGGAAAGGTCATCCATATCCCAATCATAGAGACAATCCACTGTTGATATATTTCCTTCTAGTCTTTTTTCCATTTTTTAAAACTTAACTGAGATGATCGTTCAAATTTGTTTCACGTAAGTATTTTCCTCTAATTTAACAATACAAAGTGTTGTTAGCTCCCAGTTTCTGGAGGTCTGGTTTCTCTGATGCTGACAGATGCCTGCAACTGCCTACAAGCGAAGATGTATCCTCTCTGGTGGGGGCTCCTCATCTGAGGAATGCAGGAGAACAGAGATTTCAGGTCACCCTTGCAACATCCCATCCTGCAAGCTTGCTCCTTATGCCAAGACTGTGCTTATGCACTCCTCAGTCTGGAAAGCCTTTCTGCCTCTCCCCATCTGTGTTCACGACAGTTTTCAAAACCCAGCTCTAAACAAGAGTTTCCTAGATAAAACATGACCTCCCATGATGACAACCAAGTCTGTGCTACAGGGTACTCCTGCGATGCAGCCACTTCCATACAGCAGCATGGGCCTCAGAGGCAAAAGGCACTCGGCACACACTGGTTGAGTGGGTGTCTAAATATTTTATTGTCTATTTTTTTTTTTTCCTTAAGTAAACCATAGGCTAGACGCAGTGGTTCACAACTATAATCCCAGCACTTTGGGAGGCTGAGATGACAGGACTGCTTGAGCCCAGAAGTTTGAGACAAGCCTGGGCAATACAGTGAGACCTCGTCTCTACAAAAAATTTTTAAAAATTAGCCAAGTATGGTGGCATGCACCTGTAATTCCAGCTACTCGGGAGACTGAGGTGGGAGGATTGCTTGAGCCCAGGAAGTGGAGGCTGCAGTGAGCAGAGATCATGCCACTGCATTCCAGCCCCAGCAACAGAGTGAGACCCTGCCTAAAAAAAAAAAAAAAAAAGTAAACCATAAAGTCCTTTAGTGATGAACCATTTCTCTTAATTTTATGCTTATTGGCAGTTATACATGGCTAGGTAATTAATATATGATAAATAAAGGAACAGTCAACTATTTTTTCCTTTACAAAGGTATGGTTTTATTTTTCTTGCCCTACTGGACTTGATAGGCTTGATAACAACTGACACTCTTGTGCCAACACAACACTAAGTGTTAAACTCATTACTAAACACATAGTAATGAATTTAATCCTCACAACAGTCCCGGTGAGGCACGTACTATTATCGTTTTCATTCTACATATGAGGAAGCAGAAACTGTGATGGGTTATGTAAAGTGCCCAAGCACTCCCAGCCAGTAAGTGGAGTTGGGATGCAAATTTAAAAACTAGTTTGACCACACATAATATCCATGTAATTAAATTCAACAATTAAAATCTTGACTAAGGATCAACTATGTCTTAAAACACTAGGTAAGGATATTTCCCACGTTGCAGAAGGAGAAATGAGGTGCTAAACACAGGCGGATGGGACACACACATACACGCATGGAAAAAGGGTAGGCGGACCCCATGATCAAAACAAGTTTCCCCCATATGCTGGTAAATAAGAGGGCCCTCAAAGTCATGTCATTATTATTATTATTATTTTTTTCTGAGACAGAGTCTTGCTCTGCCTCCCAGGCTGGAGTGCAGTGGCACAATCTCGGCTCACTGCAAGCTCCGCCTCCTGGGTTCACACCATTCTCCTGTCTCAGCCTCCCAAGTAGCTGGGACTACAGGTGCCCACTACCCACCCGGCTAATTTTTTGTATTTTTAGTAGAGACGGGGTTTCACCATGCTAGCCAGGATGGTCTCGATCTCCTGACCTCGTGATCCACTTGCCTCGGCCTCCCAAAGTACTGGGATTACAGGCATAAGCCACCGCGCTGGGCCCAGTCATGTCATTATTAGTCATATCTAAGAATGGACAGGGCCAGTGGGAACCACCATCTTGGAGCATGTCTGTGAGTGCCTGGCAGCATACCTGTCCACCCCCAGATAAGAGCCCTGGGGCCAGCTTTTCCTTGTTCTGCACATGGCTCCTTGTCACCCACCCCTCTGCCTCATACCCCAGGAGTTGGGGAGGGATAGCTGGAGCAGGCGGAACAGCCCAGCTCTCCTCACTGACCAGGAGACAACACCCCAGCAAGTCCATGACTTATTTGATATTTACGTATTTTTCACAAGTAGGGAAGACAGCCTTTTCCCCAAGACCCGTCTGTGTATCATAAAATCTCAAGAATTCAATATGCTCATCGCCAGCATCACCGTGTTTTCTGTCAACATCTGAAACGCACATAGCTTTTACAGAACACTCCATAAACAGAGCATGGGGGCCGAGTGGACCTGGAGCTTGCCCCTGCGTCTAGGACCTCCCAGAGACAGTATGCTTAGAGCGGAGTGGTCCTCAGAGGCACTGCACCCTGCTCTGATTCCAGAAGACAAGGCTTAGAAGTGGACTCAACTCCTCAACGCGTTCTTATGCAGGCACAGCTTCAACCATGACTTGCAGGCTAACTACGTCCAAACGTGTAACTCAGACCCTGACCTGGTCTCCTGGCCACTTCAGATGTGGTTTGTCCAATGGGAACTCACTTCCCGTCCTCCCAGTCTGAGTTCTCAGTGAACACCACCACCCCAGGCAGAGACCTGCAGTATCTCATTCCCTCCTCCCACAAGCCTTCCTCTGGAGACCTTCCAACCCCTCCCACTGCCACCGGCTCTTTCAGGCCAGGCCCTTGTCATTTCTTGCCTGGCTCATGACAACACCTTTCCTACAGCTATGCCTCCTCAGTGCCCTCAAGCTTCCCTACCCACCATAAGCCAGAAGTCTTTCAAAAGCATGAGGTGACAGGGCATTCCTTGCTTTAAAATCCTCAGGAGCTCACTATTACCTGTGGGGTCAAGTCAAACTCTTGGCTGTGGCTCCCTGGGCCCTGCACAATCTGGACCCTGACCATCCTTCCCACCCACCAAGCCACCTTTTGTTCATCCCCACATATACCCAAACCCTTTTGCTCCTGCCTGAACCAAGTATAGTCCAAGTAAGTTCCACTCCCTCACAGCCACTAAGCTGTTGCCCAAGCTACTCCCTCTTCCTAGAATGTGTTCTTTCTACCTGATGGCTCTGTAGGGCTCGGCACAAGTACTACCTCCTACAGGAAGGCCTCTATTATGCCTTCAACTCCATTTGTGTATTAAAGCCCCTTGCCCATCTCAACCGACGTGGCATACACCAACAGTATCAGGTCAATTTCTTTCAATGTCTTTTCCACTAGGCTATGAGCTCATTTCTATGTTCCCAGAACCCAGTGTCGCAGTTGGCAAACAATAAATGTTTGCCAAATGAAAGCAGAGCCTAGAAATCCCTAGCTTACCAGGCCACAGCCGTTTCTCTGCCTTTTCCTGACACCCAGGCGGACTTACCGACGCAATCGCAGGTGGGGAACTCGGCCTGGGCTCTCTTGGCAGGTGTGTCCAGCAGACTCTTGGTGGGTGTGTCCAGGTACTTAAGAGGTGACTCCAAGAAGCCACTGAGGGTGGGTGTGAGTGGGTTCTCTGCCTTGGTGGGTGTGGCCTCCTGGCCTCCCTCCTCTGAATGGAAGCAGGTTGTTGAGAGCACAGTCACAGCCCCTGAAGACTCAATCTTGATTTGCTTGGGGGAACGGGTAGCAAAGGGGCTCTCAGGGGCTGGGAGACATGTTTGCTGGTTCTCGGGGTCCTGAATGGGCACAGAAGGGGGGCCGGGAAGCCCAAAGCTATCTCCAAATTCAGCCTCAAACTGCCGGATGAGCTCTTCCAGCTTGTCATCGGCAGGGGGAAGAGGGCCGGTGGAGCCTGGCTGCAAGGTTGTCATGGGGCTGGGGGACCTCATTTCCTGAGTAGGGGGCAGCAGGCTGTCCCTGGAGGGACTAGGTGCAAATAGCGCAAGAGAAGGTTCTGGGGGCAGGGGCACAGCAGAGCCCTGTGAGGCAGGTAGAGGGGCCGGTGGATGAGCCTGTACTTCCTGGGAGGCCGGGGACCTGAGCCCTTCCAGGACAATCTGCCGGACAGGCGGGAAGAGTGGCTGTGCTTCCCGGGGCCTGGACTTCTTGATCTGAATGGGCTTTCGGACACTGGGCTTGATCCCAGGGGCAGCTTTCTCTGTTCCCACGGGACCTCCAGCTGGTGTTGGGAGCTTCTTCTTCTTCTCCTTGGGTGGTCTGTCTGGAAGCCGTGGGGCAGGTGAGCTTGGTGGGGGCCACCAGCCAGGAGCAGAAGGCTCCGAAGGAGCAGGGAAGGAGGTGTCGTGAGCCTGTTCTAGGAAGAGGCTGCGCTTGTGATGGAGGTGCTGCTGCAGGGCGGTCTGGGCCTTCTGGTGGGTGTCGGGCTCCGAGGATGGCGTGGGAGCCTCCCTCTGAAGCACAGGGGATGGGGCCAGGGCTGGGGAGGAAGAGGGTGCCTCTACCTTGACCTTGGGCTTGGTAGGCAGGGCCTCAGGCCGCTTGAATACTGACTGGATGTAATCACTGGCGCTGCCCAACAACTGCTCCAGTTCAGCCATGGGGTCGTGGCTTGGGCGAGGCATGGGCCAGGAGCTCCGGGGCGTTGCTGGAGGGGTGTCAGTGCCCCAGACTTCAGGGAACTCAGTTCGAGGAGTTGCTGGAGGGAAGGCAGAGCTATCAGGAGCAAAAGATGAGTGCTCTTCAGGAGGAACCACAGGCCATGAGGGAGCCCGGAGGTAAGACTGGGGAGATCTGAAAGGGGCAGGAGGTGACAAGGCCTCAGGAAGGGGGCAAGAAGCCTGGGGGGTGGAATGAGAAGGCTGCGGGAGGGCGGAGGAGAGCTGTGTGAGGGCCTCGATGGCAATGGCGGTCTGCAAGCTGATGTTTTTTTCCTTGGCGATGCTCAGGGCACTCTGGGACAGGGGCAGACCCTCTTGGGGAGAGATCTGGGGCACCTCTGAGCTGAGGAGTGGCCTGGTGCTTGGTGCTGGGAGACCGGCCTCACCAGGAGGCAGAGGCCCTGGGAGCCTGGGCCGCTCCTCCCCTCCTTCCATGACCACAGACTTGATCTTCCCCTCCAGCCACTCGAGGTAGTCAGGGCATTCTGGGCCATCGCAGTTGCAGTTGGGTGGTTTCATACCATGCCGCGCGAGGGCCAGGGCCGTCTGCAGTGTGTCAAGGTCTTCGCTGCCAGCAGAGCAGCCCTCGGGCCCTGGCCGGGATCCCCTGCTGTTGTTCCCAGCCTCACGACTCATCTCACGGTTGAAGGTTTCATAGAGCCGGGTGCTAAGGGCCCCATAAGAGGACACAGCTTCGGCCACAGCCGAAAAGGCCACCAGATCGTGGGCATCTTCCAGGCGAGCAGTATGAGCTGGGCCTGGGGCAGCCTCCCAGTCGGGCTTTTGGTCTACCCGCCAAGGACCCCCAGTCCCCAGCAGACTGGGTCCAGCGGGCTCTCTAGCACCATTGACCGGCACCCCTGAGGCGCTTAGCTGCCGTGAGTCCCCATGGTACACTGGCCCTGAGTCCATCTGACCTGGAACAGGTCCATCAACTGGGCTGAGCTCTGAGCCTGTCTAAAGAGAGAAAGAAGGGGGAAAAAGGAAAAAAATGAACCACACTATTTGAAAAGCATTTCCCTGCTTCATACCACTCAGGTGCACATCTGACCCCCAACTTTTCTTGCAAATCCTCTCTCTGGTACTTCTTGAGCCTCCAATTCATCTTCCCATGTCTTTGGTTCCCTAGCGAGCTTCACCAGCAGAAATAAAAAGAAGATCTTTAAGATATTTTTAAAGAGAAGATCCTAATGTGACATTCTTAATGTTGTTCAGAAACTTTTGGAGCCTCAGATCAATCACACGAATGAGGCTCTCCTAAAACCAGAGACACACAAAAAAGTCCTTAATTCACAATGATCAAAATCACACTAGGACTTTATTTTGTTTTGCCAAGATGGAAAGAAATCCAGCCAAGCCTGTGTGTACACACGTGCTCTAAGCGTGAAGTGTGGGTTCGTAGGGGTAGGGAAAGAGGAGCTTTGATTAACAAATTCAGCCTGGACCATGGGTCAGCCACGGCTTCCTAGTGGGAACCCACAGTTCTTTTCTCCCCCTAAAACTGTCCTCACTTAAGCCCAGGCCGAGCACAGAAAGCTGGCAACAGACCACATTCCCACACACAGCCCCAGGCCTGAGGGAAACGCCGATGATCTGACACAGCATGCATTTAGCCCCATGCCCGGTCAGTCCTGCCAAAGACAAGCAAGTTGCTGCTTAGAGAAGGATTCAGGCCTCTCCCTGAGCACAAGAACCAGCACTATATACCTCATATCCCCAAAAGCACACCAAAGGGGGAAGGATGAGAGCAAGAGGGCCAGGAGGACCTGGCCCAGCAAGTGAAAAGTGAATACAAAGATGTGAAATTGAGTTTGCAGACCCATCCCTTAGGAAAGGAAAGCTCTTTCTTACTGTAGAATGCTAAGAGAAAACATAGAAGGACTGATGGATTTAGAGAGTCATCAGTGGCAGCAGGTGAAAGCATGGTGAGGTACAGGATGTATGTATGCATGGTCTCAAAGCATCTCCTCTAAAATTACATAATTACAATAGTAACTGTAGTGGAGAGATCTGGTAGACAGACACCACCTTAATCCAAATGACCAAAGTTACCATCATCACCAATACTGAGACAAAACACCACCATGTGCCTCTTGATGTAAGACACTGCGGAAGACTTAACACCACTCACATAGAACTCCTGCCAAAATGTATAACCTGAATCTAATCACAAGGACACATCAGATAAACCCAAATTGAAGGGTGATCTAGAAAGTACCTGGATTGTTCTCTACAAAAAGTTTCAAAGTCAAGAAAAACAATCTCTTCCCTCAAAAAGAACAGCTAAATGCATGTTCATGGGTTAGACCTTAGACTGGGGAAAAATACACTAGTTTTACTTGGGACAAGTCATGAAATGTGAATATGGACGTGGATAAGATAATATTCTGTCATTCCTAATCTTGACTTGGATCATTAGACGATGGGTTATGTAACAGAAAGCCCTTGTTCTCAGGATACACATACTGAAGTATTTAGGAGTAAAGGGACAGTACAGACAGTCCCCAACTTACGATGGTTCCACTTAAGATTCTGACTTTGCAACAGGCATTCAATAGAAACCATACTTTGAATTTTGATCTTTTCTGAGGCTAGCAATACTTTAGCGATGCTGGGCAGTGGCAGCAACCCAGAGCCCCCGGTCAACCATGCAATCACCAAGGTAAACAACTGAGGCTCCACAATGCTCCATGCTGTCAGGGTTTTCCGGATATTGTGTTCTGTGTTTTAGCATCCCATCATGTCTATAAAATGCCCATTTTTGACTTACAATACTTTCAATTTATGATTAGTTTATTGGGACATGACTCAGTCATAAGTTGAGGAACACTGTGTACTCAATCTCAAATGATTCAGGAAAAAAAACGATATACATATGGAAAAATATGTCTCTATAAACAAAATGGTAAATACATGAGGCAAAACCTACACATTTGGGGTATGTGAGTCCCAAGTATGATCCCTGCTATTTTTCTATAAATTTTTAAATTCTGTGAAAATAAAAAGCTAAATAAGAAATCAGTCCCTCAAGTATAACACAAAATGTTTTTTTTATTTTAGAGACACACTCTCACCCAGGCTGGAGTTCAGTGGCGTGATCATAGTTCACTGTAGCCTTGAACTCCTGGACTCAGGTGATCCTCCCACCTCAGCCTATCAAGTAGCTGGGAGTTGATGCATGTACCACGCTCAGCTAATTTTTTTTTTTTTTTTTAAGAGCTTGAGTCTTGCTATGTTGCCCAGGCTGATCTCTAACTTCTGGCCTCAAATGATGCTCTGGCCTTAGCCTCCTAAAGTGTTGGGATTATAGGTGTGAGATACTGTGTCTGGCCTCAAAGTGTTTTAAGTAGGTGGCTAAAATGATGCCAGTCCTAAGACTGTCAGACAAGGCCATCACGGGCTCCTAAGTGTGGTGGGAAACTAGGGTTTGGGATGAGTTCTGTGGGAGATTAGCAGAGGTTCCGGCCAGCAGTTCCTGCCTCATCCTCACCCTTGCCTCCATTCTGGCCACAAAAGACCCTCATGCTTTTCTAACAGGCCATGTTCTCTGACGTCACCAGGCTTTGTACACGCAGTTCTCATTGCCTGGAATGACCTTCTCAGCCTCTTAGAGTGGCCTCTCTGGCTTATCCTTCAAGCATCAGCTCAGTGTCACCTCTTCCCCTACCTACTTCACAGAATTATCTGTGGCTCCTTCCCCGGGTTCCCAGGGCACCTTCATTAGCACTTATCACATGCCACTACTGTTATTTGTTCAAGCAGCTGCCTCCCTCCCCCACTAGATGGTGGCTCCTGCCAGGCAGGGTCCAAATCTCCATGACTCCTGTGCTTCCTGCCCACAGCTGGAGCAGTAACACTCAGGTAAATGAAAAGCCTGCCATCCCTACTGGCCACAGAGTGTATCAGTTTTTCCCTGACCCCAGTGGAAGACTACCTTTCAGAAGTCTAGGAATGTGGCGGATCACCCAGCACACTCTTCTTTCTTAGAAGCCTAAACTAATGTGGCTAACAAGGCTATACAATCTGAAGTGGTCAAATCTTACATGCTTATGTAGGAAGATAGAAGGAGCATGCATAACCAAGAAGAAACTAACCGAGAGTAGCACAGATTTACAAAAACAGTGTCAGGAAGACTAATGCTACATGAGTGGAGGCTTCCCCAAAATGGTCAAGACAACTAAAAGGGATTTAAAAAGTTATTTTTGGTGTGTGAATAAGAACAAGGAAGGGCTAGGATGGCTCTTGTGCCTCTGAATTCCCTGGGAAGGAAAATGCTCCTTGGACCAAAAAGAGGAGAAAAGGAAAAGCAGACATAGATATGAGGTAAGTGAAGCCACTATGGATAGGGAGATCTTAAGAAACTCTAAATTCCTATTTCCCAACCAAGAGATCCCACTGATACCTTTCTCAACACCTGTCAGTGATGCTGGAGGAAACCTGCCAGCAGGAGACGGGGCCAACAGGCAAGAAAAGGAGAAGCGTCCTTCCAACTCTCAGTCTGCTGCGTTTAAGAACAGCCCGGGTAAGAACCACAGGAGTCAGGTTCCACAGAAGGCCATTAACCTACCAACATCCAAACAATCTTAGTGCTTTGAGTCATGGGGTCATTGGAGAGCAGATGGGGAGATACTGTGGCTGACAGGTCACAAAGCCGAGAGCTTTGGGCCAAATCTGCCACAAGTTTGTTTTACTTGCCTATATGGTGTTAATGTTTTTGTTTTGCTAACATTCGAAAATCAAATTCCACATGAAACCTGGATTTTCTTGAAGGCCCATGCTTCTACAGGCAAGTTTGTCTGTAACTGAGCAGTGGCTCCTGCTTACATAGAATACAACTACTCCAACTCACCCTCAGCTTCCCCACTCCACACTGCCTTCTTGAAACCAAGGCTGGGGTCAGGAATTACTTATTAATTGCTTGAATTAATTATCACTTCACTCACTTCTGTTACCTGCCAACCCCCTGTAAGCCTTTGACTTTGCAACTTCGGCTGTGGACGTTCAAGTTTCACAAGGTCTGCCATGACCCTTTTGAGGTCAGCTACACAGAACTACAGGCTGGAAGGGCTGGTTCACCACTGGTTAAATGACCATGCTCAAAGGGTACAAGAGGTGTATCAACTGGGAGAACGGTCTTTAGTGGTCTGCCACAGGGCTCTGTTCTTAGAACTATCCTGTTCAACATATTTATCAATAATGATAGAGAAGGCTCACTTAATAAATAAGTAGATGTTGAAAATAAAAGGGATAAAGCTATGTTGAGCGACAGAACCAGGTGCCAAAAGGTCAACAGACCAGAGAGAAAAAAATCTAAAAGGGTAAACAGGGTCTCATACTTAGGCCCCAAGCCACATCTGTGGAAATAAATTAAAGACGGGAGAAGCACACAATAGCAGCAGCGGTACCCATAAAAATGTCTTAGGAATCAGAAGAGGTAAAACCCTGAGAGCCAACTGATGGCACACCCAATATGATGTCATGTGGCAGCTTCAAAAGGTCTTATAACCCAGATTTTTTCAAAAATTTTCACTACAATCCACAGTAAGAAATACATTTTACACTGTGATCCATTAGCTACTTATATACAAGTTTTGTAAAACAGTACTTCCACTTAATAGATACATTAATGTATCTTTCTTCTTTATTTTTAAATGCAGGTTGCAACCTTCTACATTGATTTCGGGGTCTACTAATGGGTTTTGACCCAGTCTGACACACAGCTATGACCTGACCTGAACAGGACGACAGCACAGGCAGTGACAGCCCTGCTTGTGACCCAGACAGTCCCCACCTGAACGCAGGCTTCCCTGTGGGGCTGCACCCTCTGGACGCAGAGGAAGGCGAGCACGAGGGTTCAAAACCACAGGAGGAACAGCTCCCTTTTGGTTCTGAACAAGATACAACTCCAGAAAGTCTTTAAACATCCGCAGGCCTACTATTTGGGAGAAGAATGAGAC